CAGGATGGGGCAGGGGTTTGAGGAGACAGGCGGGGCCCAGGGGTGTTCTTGAGCCCCTTCCCAGAGTCCGTGACTTCTAAGAACTGGGAGGACCTTTAAAAATAATTACCACTTGTCGGGCGACACCTGGGTTACTCCGTACCAGGCACCGCGTCCCCCTGTGCGGCAGAAACTTACATTTCACGGGTAGACAAAGTGAGGCCTTGAGAGGGTAACTTGCAGAGATGGCAGTGCTCTAAGTAACAGGATGGGAATCCAGGAAAGGAGTCTTGACGCCACACTCAGTAGTCTTAACTACAGTACACAGCCTTCCAGTATATTCCAGAACCTCTCAGCCTCCAGATGAGAAACTGAGGCCCCAGAAGTGAAATTAAACAGATAACGTTTGTCAAATGACTAACAGTAACACAGTTCCAGCCACACTGTGAGTCCCTGTCAAGGTTAGTGCCTTTCCCCTTTCCCTTGAGTACTTGTCGGCTGGATCTCCCACTGTAAGGTTCTTTTTTTGTTTGTTGTAGGGTGCATGTGCTCGCTGCAGAGAGAGAGAGGGGGAAAGTGAGAAATCACCTCCTGAGGGTATGGCCATGCTGCAATCCCTTCTCCATTCTTCTCTCAGGATTTTGGACATGTAAGCCCATGCCCCTGGCATGTTTTCCAAGTCACCAGGTCCAGGACTCGAACCACACAGTCAGTCATGTGAGATCCAGCTGCCTTAACCTCCAGGACACCAGCTGGCAGGAACTTCAAGGTTCTTTTTGCCTCATCCTCCCTCCTCCCTGCCCAGTGCATTTTCTCTATCTTCTCTCAGGATTTTGGACATGTACGCACATGCACCTGGCATGTTTTCCAAGTCACCAGGTCCAGGACTTGAGCCACGCCATCAGTCACGTGAGATCCAGCTGCCTTAACCTCCAGGACACCAGCTGGCCCCAACTTTCTGCCCCACCCTTCCTCCTCCCTGCCCAGTGCATCTTCTCTATCAACCTCTGGCCTCCTTGGATAGCTTCTGTCTCCCCTTCTTGGGTGTGTGAGTCGAGCTGTGCTGACCCTGAATCCCCACTTGAAAACAGAAGGAGCTTAGGAGGAACCTGAGTTCCCAGGGGAGACATGGTGGAGTCAGAGCCGTGACCCAAATGAAGCCAACACCCAGCTTGGGACCTGTCACTTGGGAATGCTCAGTGAGTCAGAGAACGCCTGAGGTGGCCTCAGAACACTGAGTTTCCTTCCACCCTCCCTGCTCCAGGTTTTGTGGGCCCAGCCTGTCCCTGCTGCTGACTTCTTTTCTCCCAGTTGTGCTTGTCTTATCTTGTACCTGGTCTCTTTCCCACTTGCCCCTCCCCAGTCAAGAGAGTCGTGATACCTGGGAGGAGGAGGAGAACAGGTGGACCCACATGAACTGGGCCCTGAGTCCATCACGTAATCGGAGAAACCTCATTGCTCACTGGTTGGTTGTGTGTGTGTGGGAGCTGGTTCCCAGGCCTCGGCAAACACTGCTTATACCTGTTGGGCACGTCTCTTGCGGACAGTGTCTCTTTCTCTTTTAGCTGGACGTTTCCGGGACAAGAATGTGTCTCTGTCTTGAGCCTCCTACCTGGCTTAGGGTCAGCGCTGCCACATAAGCGTGTACCTTGTTTGAGAACGAGCTTAGGACTGGCCTGGTGACCTCGTGCTTGAGGGAGCTGGATCGCACGTGGCCAACTGCAGTTGGTGAATCCCAGCCCTGGTGGCTTGGAAAAAACACCAGGCACGTGTGCTTGCCCCAAATCCTGAGAAGACGGAGAGACGGGCAGGGCGATTATGGCGCGATCGTGCCCCACTGGGGAGTATTTCTCTCCCCACTTCTTGGTAGGCACATGTGTGCTCTGACAAAAGGAAAAAAGAGTGCCTCAGCTTCATTTCTGAAAAACCCGTGTCTGTAATCCTTGAAGGTAAAGTCTAGTGTTTAAAATTTGGTATTTGAAATAGTGAACTTTTCAAGGCTTGAACCCCTTTGGAGCGATGGAAACTCTGGATCCCCTCCCAGGAAAACGCGCATGCAGTCAGCCGGAGGGCAGCACACGTGGTCTGCAGAGCCGATTCCAGAAGCCCAGGTTTAAAGGGGCCCTGCAGAAAGCCTTTTTGTAAATGTGTCGTGTCACATCTTAGCCTCTTAGACGTGTTTCCATATTATGTTTAGAAAACAAACCAACATGGGGCCAGCAGGTGATGTGGTGGTTAAAGTGCTGGAATTCCCACATGGCTGACCATGGTTCGAGTCCTGGACCTGGTGGCTTGCTTTCTCGTTTTCTTTCTCTCTATGTGCCTGTCTTTCTCTGGTCAAATTAAGAGAGTGAATGAATAAATAAAATTAAATAAATAATTCATTTTTTTAAAAAAAGAAAACCAACATGGGACCAGCATGTGGTATAATGGTTATATCCTGGATTCCCACATAGTCAACTGCAGTTCAAGTCCAGATCCGGCGGCTTAGAACTCATGCTAGGCGTGTGTGCCCAAAATCTGGAGAGGAGAGGGGATTATGGTGTGGCCATCCTCCCTAGAGGGTGATTTCTCATTGGCCCTGTCTCTGTCTCTTTCTGTCTCTCTCCAGCAAGAGCACGTGCCCTATGGCAAAAATCTTAAAAAGAAGAGAGGAGCTTGTCTAGAAAACCTAGGCTCCTGGCGGGATGGTGGCGTCTCTGCCATCGTGCTGGTCCCTTGGGCTAAGTGGAGTTTGGGGAGAGTCCATAGAACCCCGGCTTGCCCATCTCGTCTCTGGCTCTGTTGGCTTCCTGACAGCACTGCTGAGACATTTAGGCGAGACGTTGTGCGGGGACCACTGCCTACATGGAGGGCCAGCGTCTGGGGTAACAACAGCTCCTGTCCCCACTGCCTCACCAGGCCTGTCCTCTTCTCATCACAGCATTCTGATGTCCTACGATCATGTGGAACTTACATTCAATGACATGAAGAATGTGCCAGAGGCCTTCAAAGGGACCAAGAAAGGCACCGTCTACCTTACCCCTTACCGGGTGAGTCGCATGGCAGGACCACCCGGTGGGACGGTCATTCACTGTAGAGGCTTGTTGGTGGAGGAGGGTGATATGAGTCTTAAGGCGGCTCCGCCTCAGGAGATGAGTGCCCTCTGAACTCTGGTGAATGGCATTGCCTCACTCTGCCTGCCTCTCTGGCACTTGCTCCCAGGTTCTGGACCGCCAAATGCTTTGTGCAGCTGAACAGATCGCTGGGCAGCAAGTCCTTGTAAATCCCAGAGCTGCTGCCCTGCAGTCGCCACGTGGCTGGCCAGCTCTGGTTGCTGGGGTGACAGGCCTGGAGGGGTGAGGCTGTTTTGATTTCTGTAAGAGTAGCCCATGAGGCCTTTGATAAGGATAACACGCTTGGGGTGGCAGCGTGCAGAGAACCCCCCACTACCCTGCAGAGTGAAAAGTCCCGCCTGCAGGACAGGCCTTGCCCTGGAGTGACCCACGTGGACTCTTGAGAGCTTAAGTACAAGAGGACGTTCCTGGGGGAGGATCGCGGGAGCTCCCCAGGAGCGAGGCTTACAGACGGCCTGCCGGGAGGAGAGCGGCACAGCTGTGACAGCCACAACTTAGCCGGGGTGGGCGTCTCCCAGCCCCACCCCTCAAGGCCCAAGTTATCCTCACTTATGGGCTTGACACTCTGGCTGCTCTCTGGGCAGATGCGGTCGGCGGGGAGGTCATGGCAGCCCCCTCCTCCTGAGATCTCACGCCCGGCCAGCCCACTCCTCACTCAGTTCTACAAAGCTCAGGCTAGAGATTTCCCCTTCCCTGGAGTCCTTCCTGCCAGGCTCCTGCCTGTTCTTGCCTACCTGTTTTTGGTTTTGCTTTTCCTTGTTAAGTTTATTTCCTTCTCTCTCCTTGTGTGCGTTTGAGGGTAATAGCACCCTGAACAGGTCTTAGTGCCCCGTCTGTTGTGGGTTGTAGGGACGCACAAACCCGGAGTGTCCAGGGAGGTCTCTGGGCTCAAACCTGGAACCTCCCATGTGGGTCAGCTTGCAGAGGGCTGTCTTACTGCTGCACCCCACCTGGCCCCGCTCTCCCTAGCTTTGAGGGCCCCTTCATCCAGGCACTGCATCCACCCTCTGCTCTCTGCCACCTGATGACAGAGCAGCCCATCCTGGTCTTGCACACTGCCTGGTTGTCGCGTCATTCTTGGGACTAGACAGGTAGCTTCTCCAGACTGCATGTGAGGCCTTGGACTTGATGAAGCTCTCTCTGAGGCGCACACGGCTGCCAAGAGTCCCAGGCTTCTGGGCCCTGGGAACAGGCCCACTGCCCCAGTAGCGGGTGGCAATGTGAATGTGCTAAGGGCTCTCGTCCCCTCCCTGCAGGTCATCTTCCTGTCCAAGGGGAAGGATGCCATGCAGTCCTTCATGATGCCGTTCTATCTGATGAAGGACTGTGAGATCAAGCAGCCCGTGTTTGGCGCAAACTACATCAAGGGAACGGTGAAGGCAGAAGCCGGAGGTAGGGGCCAGAGAGCTCAGGGACATGGGTGGGGCCTCCAGGGAGGTGCTCTAGGCCCCTCTGCTGCTCAGGGGAGGGGGGGTCCTCTTCACACCCTTGTCTCCTAAGGCTGGCCTCTTCCCAGCTCTGGATTAACTTCAAGAGGCCTACCTGGGCTGCCAGCTGGGCAGCAGAGTGGGATTTTGGTTGCCAGGAGCTGAGGGGGCTGGAATTAAAGATGGCAGCTCAGATGAGCTTTTCAGAGCAAAGTCAGCAAAAAGGTAAAACCAGGAGAGCTGCGCATCTGGGCCTGCGAGCAAGCAGGGTTGTTTAGGTGCAGCTCTTGGGAGGGGCCTTTGTACAAGCGCCAGAAAGTGGCAGCTGCCCCTTGGGAAGGTAGAGGGTAGTGCCTCTTGGCAGGCTCTGCGTCACACCTTCCTCCCCGACACCCAGCCAGGCCTGAGCCTCGCTGTGGAGGGGCTCTCGGTCCTGACTGGACAGAAGCCAAGCTGGAAGGTACTGGATCTGCCCCGACATCCCCTCAGTCCGAGAGGTCTGCTCTGAACTCGAACGTCCAATATTGCAGAGAGCACTTGCTCCCATGACGCTACAGAGCGAGTGCTCTGTTGGGGTGCAGAGGGAGAGTGAGAGATCACCCCCCAGGCCGACGGCCACACTGCAATCCCTTCTCTAGTCTCGGGATCTTGAGCGCAGATGCACACACATCTGACTTGTTCTTCAAACCGCTGGGATCGGGAGTTGAACCGCAGTCGGCCATGTGGGATCTAGTACCTGAATCTCCACACCTGCTGGCCAGTACTTTTTTTTTTTTTTGGTAAAGTTTATTTATTTCTTCCATGAGAGACAGCAGCCCCAAAAGGGTCTTGGTGCTGGGATCCACACCCAGCCAGCTCCAGATCACAGGTGCCTGCATGCCCGGTATACTCAGGGAGGTTCTGGGGCACAAGCCCTGCGCTCTCCCGTGAATGTCCCATTCTGCCACTGCACCACCATCTGGCCCCCTGGATGCTCTCCAGCCAGCTGTGGTGGTCTTAGTGGCCATGTGCTTACGGGGCTGGGAGTGAGAGGACAAGTGTGTTTCCAGAAGGAAAGGCTGCCGGTTCCCAAGAGTGAGGTTGGCTGGCAAGAGCCAGGCCATAGCAGAGCCCGCAGACAGCCCGGAGGCAGGAGTCCCCGTCACATCGAAGGCCCTTCCCTGCCCTCACCGTCCTCCTCTTTGCAGGTGGCTGGGAGGGCTCTGCTTCCTACAAGTTGACCTTCACAGCAGGGGGCGCCATTGAGTTTGGACAGCGCATGCTCCAGGTGGCATCTCAAGGTATCCAGGCTCCAAAAATGGGGCTGAGGACACATCAAGTGTGGGAGGCTTCTTGCTTGAGTTTATTTTTTGTGTTGTTTCTTTAAGCACTCGAGATAAGTGTGGGCACCTGCAGCCCAGGGCTGGGAGTGGAAGGAAGTCTGTAAGGAGCTCACCCCCGTCTTACACCTCAAAAGCTGGGTTTCCCCTGCTCAGAGCAGGGAAGTGGCTTTTTGATAGAGATTTTTGCTGTAGGATACATGCGCCTACCAGAGGGAGTGAGAGAAAGTGAGAAATCACTTCCCAAGGGAGCTGGCCACACCACAGTCCCTTTTCCATTCCCCCTCGGAATTTTAGGCATGCGTGCGCATGCTTCTGGCATGAGTTTCAAGCCGCAGGTCCAGGACCGGAACTGCGGTCAGCCGTGGGGTCCAGCACCTTAAGCACTACGCCACGCCACCTGCTGGCCCTGGGAAATGACATTTTAATGGAGCTGTTCAGACACAGGGACATTTACTCTGCCTCATTAAAACAAAAATGACCTTTAAATTGCCACTGGGCAACCATTTTAAAGTCCAAATAGTGTGTCCAGCGGGTATCACCCCTGCCCTGAGCCCCTCCTTCCCGTGCGCCCCTCCCCATTCTTGACCCCCCTCCCCAAGCCCCTGCCTGATCTGGGCCAGAGCAGACCTGAGCGTGTGTGGAGGTGAGGTGGTTGGGGTGGGTCCTGCAGGCCCGGGGCAGCCCTCCAGCCCCGGGCAGGCGGCCTCACTTCTCTCTCCCCTGTGCTTGTAGCCTCCAGAGGCGAAGCCCCCAGTGGAGCCTATGGGTACCCTTACATGCCCAGCGGGGCCTATGTCTTCCCCCCGCCCGTCGCCAATGGAATGTACCCCTGCCCTCCTGGCTACCCCTACCCACCGCCCCCACCCGGTGAGTGTGTCCTTTGCTGCCACCCACCCACTAACCACCCCCACCCAGACCAGTGGGCCTAGAGGGACTAGCAGAGCGGGGGAGAGGCCCAGAGGGCACCGGTCCGCTGCTCACAGCCCGTCCTCTACCGGGCAGAGTTCTACCCAGGACCTCCCATGATGGATGGCGCCGTGGGGTACGTGCAGCCCCCACCACCGCCTTATCCTGGGCCCATGGAACCTCCAGTCAGCGGCCCTGATGTCCCTTCTACTCCTGCAGGTGAGGCTCCGGGCAGCTGGCCTTAGGACCAGGCAACCCCCTCCCCTGGG